TGGACCTGCCAGAAGACCACACTTTTCTTGGGCCATTATCTCCGTAACCGTTCAACTTTGGACATAGGTGTTTTGGGTTATATCGGCATACTTTAACATAAGGAACACCCTCCCGAAGTTTTGACCATTCCTCCTGGGACACCCTGTATATCAATGCAACAGATTGCTGAAATATATTATTATGTATTTTAATTTTTCGTTTTTAAATAGACAACAAGAGAAAAGATTATGAACAGAATTGTAGCAAGCATTATCTAGATTTAATCAGCTCTTAATTTCTTCAATAATTAAATTTTGATTTTTAGTGTAAGTCCAAAATATTTTAATTTCTGCACATTTTCAAAGGATCTGTTAACTGTCTTTATACTATTATGATTTTATCCTGCATTGTGGTGAAGACATTAACATAAACTTTTTTCTTTCCTCTCCAGTTGCTTCTAGACCAACTTCCATACTAGCATGTAATACTTAATATGTCTTACAGAGATACTGGGTTTTCAGACTTTATCCATCGTCCTGGTTTTTAAGATAACTAAGAAAAACTGGTCCAGTGATTGAGGCTAGCTCTTTCTAAGGGACCCAACAGAATAGGTTGTTTTCCCTCACCTGAGGACAGAAACAGATCCAGTTTCCAAAACTTCGTGTTTTTCTTAGTTATCTTAAAAACTAGGACGATGGATAAAGTCCGAAATCCCAATATATCTGTGTGTTATACACCATTGTCAGAATCCTATAGTAACTACTATAATTGTGAGTGCTTCAAAAAGGACTGTACACCATGTTCCAGGTTTCCCACAACCAGCACCAGGTATCCCAGGAATGCCTGTGACGATCGCATTACCAGGTATGCCACCGATCACAGTCAGTACCACACTTGGTCTTCAGGCGACCAGAGGGAACTCGGAATCACAACCTGTCGTTTCACAGTAACACTTCATTGAATGCAAAGGAGAACAAATAAGAGGAAGGTAGTGTACTTTCTCAAGGTGGTATATGGAAGATCTTCCTGTGTACATTCAGGATTCTTCATGAAAATAAATATTATTGTGCCATGCTAGAAGTAATGAAGTGCTTTGAGATTATGTGAAGCAGGAAACGTAGATATATTTGACTGAGAATTACAGTACCAAGGAGAATGTATTTCATGCACATAATCACTTCTTATTTCAAAAAGTATAGCATGAGCAAAATAATTTTAATTCATGAAAGATGCGATTACAATGTTTTCGCTCTTGAAATGCAAGTATAATGTTTGTAGATAACTCAGGAGAGATGGAAGTTGCAAGTTGTGTTTGCAACTTCATTTGTTTTTGTTCCTGTAAGTTAGATACAAGTTCATTATATGCTATTCCTTCATCATCAAGGCCTTGAGGGTTACATCCCATTAAAGTTATTATAATGTGGTGGCATAATAAAACATGAATACATGTTTTTGCATCATAAATGTTCTGTGCACCATTCATTAAGCAATCATTAGTACAGTACGCACTTTGTTTAGAAATAGTGACTTTTCAATTTTTAGTTCGGCATAATAAACCTTTAGATATAGTGGAAAATGCTAATACATTTTGTGTTAATGCCATAGTGTGCTCTTGTATAATTAGGACATTTAATTTTGGATTAAGCCCATTTAAATGAAATATCTAAACAAAACTACAGGAATCCCCTTAAAAATATGTAAAGTGTGTATGTGACTTGCTTTGGGCTGGAAGAATGGCATTCCTGGCATTGTGACACATTTTCTCTTCGCCACCACAGCCAGACCTGCTGTGGGACTCAGCAGCTTCCTGTTCAGTTGGTTCAAGGACTCATTTTCTAGGGGTAGTGGTTGGAGCATGAAGCTTAGTACTCACCTTCAGCTACTGCTAATATTAAGAATGTGTGGAGCTGTACCTCCTCCATGTCTTTGTTGTAGTAGTGGGTTTAAAGGCACCTCAGCAGCATGGTTATTTGTGCCTGTCTTTGTTGTGCTACTTAATTGAGTACAGTGGCAATTTTAAATTATCATACACAGAAAGGGTCATATCCTTTATGCCTCTCTGACTTTGCCCTTGATATGTACTGCTGTAAAATGAGGGGTCTGTGTGTGGTGAGGTTGCCTTTTGCTGTTGAAGGTGTATCCTGTAAATGGTGGAAAGCATAATGTGAAGTGTGCGTCCTTCACTGCTGTCTTGCTTTTCTGAATTTAACATACAAGCTTATAAGCTAGAATCTGTAGGAAGTACAACAGAAATATGGAAAGGGAGGCATGTTGCAACTTTGAAGGGGGGGGGGCAGGAAGATTAATACGTAGATGGAGCCATTTTGAGTTCCGAGAGTTGACAGATGGCTTGTATATATTAAAGCCAGTGCTAAAATGTGTACAATGAAGTGTACCTTTTAAGAATATTTCTTGTATTGAAAGTATTTTTATGATGAATATACTTTTGCTATATGAAGTTTGTGGTTCTCACAATGGCAAATATTATAGCTGGTTTTCTTAATGTGATGCTATGGAGTGCCACAGATGGTTACCAATGTACCAGACTACACAGCATAATATGAGACCAGTCTTTAATTCTTATTGCTAATTAAAAACATTTAAATGTGGATCTGTACATCCACTCCCTCATACACCTTCATGGTGTAGTGCTTAATTAGTTAAGCACAGGAACAACTTTACCTTTTACCTTAACTGTATGTATATGGCAATTTGTCACAAAATTATACTTTATATATGTAATTAATTTCTAACTGCCATGTGAGATGTTTTCCCATGTTTCCTGAGATTAACATTGTTATGTTGAATCTCTCTTCAGGGGCAACATATGAAACATTTGAAGACTTTTATCCACCTAAATCTGATGAATATTGAAATTAATGTGTCATTCATGAGATATATACAGAGCACCCTGATTTAATGTTCTCAGTTAAGGGATTGTCCTCATATAGTGTTCAGTTTCAGTGACTGCAAATCAATAATCTCAGTCTAAAATTACCTGTATTTAAGATTATTCTGAGTTCAGTCTTGAGATCCACTGCTCCCTAAAGAAACCTTAGATGGGGGTTATATCATATAACATGGAAGTATGGAAAAGTGACACACACCAAGTGGTCCATAGATTTGTAAAGTAGTGGTTATTTGTGCGTGTTTTTTCAATGATATTTACTTTCTCATATATGTAATATATATGAGAAAGCACTGTGATAACAAAGAAATTGAGATCTGAACGGATTTACATGGTCTGAGCCCCTCTTAATATGTAAAACCAGTTTTTGGTACACTATCTGTTTGGGGATGTAAGCTTAGCTAACTTCTGAACTTTTGGATAGATTACATTCTATTCAGCTTTCGAGCTCCAACAATTTTGATTAAGTTTTGGTAATTTATGGAAACCATCTCCATAACTAAATCTGAATAGATGGTATCTTTGTTTGATATTCAGCAACCTGGTCTGCTGAGCAGTAATCAGTTTCATTTCCAAGGCAACATAGTCAAGATCAATCAAATGAGAAGGTATATGCAATGTTTTTTCACCAGTTATTTTATATTCTGCAACATTTCTTCTAGGAAAAAAAATAATTGTATGGTCTGAAGTGGGTTACATTATATGCTTTTCAGTGGTGATTCCTGTCCAGAAGGCGGGTCATGTGGAATGCAAGTGCATGATCTGGTAGCGTTAACAATTAAGTATACTTTTTTTTTAACGTGATACATGGAAGTAGAGTTTGGACCTGTAGATGAGCGATGAATCTGTTTACATCTGTTTCCTGGAGTATACAAAGCAACACTGTGGCACATACGCTCTACAATGTATACAGATACTCGTAGCAAAATATTAAGATCCCTAACTCGGTGAACAAGAAAAACATTTTTTTTTTTATATATTCATCTAGATTAGTGGTCTGGCAGGGCTCTACTACCCAGAATGGAGCATTCATCACTGGTGCTATTATATAACTTAATCTCAGCAGTTAATACACCTATTTAAGTAAAATAAAGAAAATTACAAACTTACACTCTACAAAATAAAGTAAGGTTAATGATAATCCTGTAATTATTTTGGTCCTTTATACATAATCCTTGTAAATACTGCTGCTTGGATTTTAAGTTATATAAATTAATGTGCATTTTTCTATTCAAGAATAACTGTAGGTAGAAATATGATTCACAACTTCAAGAGCAAAGCATGCTTGGAAATGCTTCTTATTAAGTTCTCATCTTCTTGATACCAAATCACTGAAAATTATGATATACCAAATTATTTTGTTCATGTTTTGTGTGGCTGTGAAATGGGCTGTCTTATTCTGAAAGAAGAGCATCATTTAAAGTTATCTGAAACTTAAGTCCTAGGGAAACAATTTGATCAAAGAGAAGTTATTACTAAATGGGGAATTACATGTATGTACAGAACTTGCTTGTCCATTTCTTGGGAGGGAGTGTTGTAAAACGAATGAAATATGATGGAATTGACATAATAAGGCAGTAGAAACAGCATTTGGCAATGGAAGTGGCCACATGGAAGGCCATGGATTGAACTGGTTTGGATTGTTATTACAGCACAACAGTGTATCAGGATGTCATAGGTTAGTTGCAACAGTGAGGAATGTGGTGGCATTTGAAAACCTTTCTTTCAGCCAAAGTACCATCATATTGTACTTCCACTGTCTTGAGTGTGTAATGCAGAATATCATGTCGGTAGTTGAGCTGTCAAATCATGAACCACACTTAATTCCTAGTTTTGTATATATACAGATAACCTAGAGGGAAGAATAATAAACTTTTTGTAAAAAGTTAAATGACATTCCTTTAATTAGTACTCAATTTTATCACCCTTTTTTGTAAATAGTTAGTACAGTAATACAGTCCCTACACTGCTGCGACAATTATCAAGTTCTGAATAGAATGTATAAGTTCATAGGTCTTAGAAGATAACATTTTACTTTGATTAAGTCAGTACTTAAATTCTTCAATAGCAATTTCAGCCTCAACAGAACTAGGCTCAGCTGTACATATTTCAGGCTGCCTATATCATTAACTTGAACCAGAACAGTGCAGCTGGTATAGTGATTGTAAGTTGGACAGCTGAGGAGTCAGAGTTTGAGTCCATGTAGGGACAAGATGTTTGTCCTCTGCAAGTTAGCCAGACTGGTTCTGGGACCCACCCAGCCTCCTATCCAGTGAGTACTGGGTGCTTTTCCACAGGGGGGTAAAGTGGCTGGGATACAAAACTGACTTCTTACCTCCAACTAGATCCAAGGTCAATTGACTTGTCCTTGATCCATGGGTATGAAGTAAATAAATAAATTATAAATCTGTCCACTCCCACTTCATGGTTTAGTGCTTAATTAGTTAAGTACAGAAACAACTTTCATTTTGCCTGTGGTTCTGTATGGATGTGAAACTTGGTCTCTGACATTAAGGGAGGAACACAGACTGAGGGTGCTTGGGAGGATATCTGGACTGAAGAGGGATGAAGTGGTAGGAGGTTGAAGTAAACTCTATAATGAACTTCATAACTTGTACTCTTTGCCAAGTATAATTAGAATGACAGCATGCATGGGGGCATGCAGGTAGGGTTTTTAGACTTTTTCTATCGTCTGGAATTCTAGGTAATAGAGGACAAGACATTTCGGTTACTGGATCTCTTTCTGTCTTCAGGGAGAAAGGAAGACACCTATTCAGTTGGGCCCCTTAGAAAGAGCTAATCTCAATCACTGGAAGATGGAAAGAGATCCAGTTTCTGAAACATCCTGTCCTCTATTACTTAGAATTCTGGATGATGGGAAAAAGTCCAAAACCAAGTAATTCTGTGTTACCCACTATTGTCAGAACCCTTTAGAATCTACCAGTCTGAAGGATATTAATGTTGTAAAAGCAAGTAATCAGACAATAGACTTCAAAAGAAATGTAATTTTAACTTGTCATAATCCAACAGGTTTGGGTACAACTCATAAAAAGCAAATCTATATATATACAATGTGCATTAAATGGACAACAAAGTTTCTTGTGTAACTTCCATTAATTCAGAAGGCTGATTCACTGGGCAAATATCTACGCTAAATAACCTATAACTTTCATACATTTCAATGACGAAACTCATTACACAAACTATTACATCAGCAATTATCCTCTGAGGCACGACATATCCGGCTCCATACTACTATTTTAAATGGATGTCTATATTATAATCTCTGTACCTCGCAGTTCTTCATCTGAAGGCAATACAATTTTGCTGGGATCAATGAGGTTGCGATCAATGGGTGGCAGCCCAAGTGCCTCTCTTCTTCGTAGTTCAAGATATGCTTCTCGCTGCGACCAGTCGCGCAACATAACATCGGGGTAATATGTAAAGACGAATCCTCCAAACACTATGCACAGTGTAATTGAAAAGAAAAAAGCTGAATGCATAGCATTTCTGTCGTCTTCCTCATTCTTGAAATCGAATCCATAACTGACCCAATTCTTCTTTGATACAGCGGTGCTTTCTGTTGTTTCACTTTTACTGGTAGGTTCTGCTAGGCCTACAGTCTCTCTGTTTTTCTTCGAGGTAGAAATCGCACGAATATATTTCGTATTTACCAATCTAATTGAACGTCTGAGCACAGGGTTCAATACCACGACACCAACGCCCGCCATATTGCAATTCTTGCAAAATCCCTCAAAAACTCAAAAACTAGCGTAAATGCGAGGGTTACCATGCCAATAATGGCAGCATGAATGAGTAGGGGTGATCCGTGGTATTCTGTAATCCGATGTAAACACGGTCCCAGCAATATAATGAAGATCGAGAGGCTCGAGAGAGATCGAGAGCACACTATAGCTGGCAGGTTGGCAAAACTAACGAGGCGGACAACATGGCGGTAACTTGAGGAGTTGTGTATGTTGCTGGGTAATAAGCAAGTACGTCTTTTAGAAACGAAACAAATTCAAACACTGATTTCGTACCGGATTGATCTGCTTGTCAAGCTACTCGATTATTGTCATCGAACATTTTCAATATGATGCCGATATTGAGATATATTCATTTGATGATAAAAATGCGAATGAGTCATTCGTTAGTCATATCTCTAGGTCTATTATGTGTTAAAAACGAAGTAATATATCTTACTGTATAGCTGAATAAACTGAATGCAGCTTCGGTAGCAGGAAGCGGCAAGAAAGCTCGTACAGTGACTGGAGACGCGGACTACATTAAGTTAACGAAGGGAATAACAGTAAAAATAATCATAGATGAGACTTTAATGGAGGTGTGACTGGTTTTAAGAAAGAATTACGAACGCGAATTAGCTATATAAATGATGAGAGTGGCAGTCTGGTCACAGATTTACGTATGCATGGTTATATATGCCATCCCATGATAGGAGATAGTAATAATATTTCTAGGTGGCTGCAGGAAGTAAGTACGAGAAAAAAACGGAGCAGAGTTTAAGTCATTGCTTTTTAGCAGAACTGAAATTTAATGATAAGTAGCCAAATTTATCATTTGACTAAAGGTATCACATCCCTGAGTATAGGTCCAATGTTGAATGCTGTGAACTTGTTTTCTGGAGTCCTCGGTGGGGACACCAATTATGGTGACGATTTTTTATGGTTTTCCACATCCCCTCCAATAAATTGCTGTGATAGTACCTTTATTAGACTGCAGCTGCTACCTTCTAAATCCTTTCACATTCATCAGTTACATAATTCTATGCTATATAGTCTTAGATACTGACTGTCATAAATAACCCCGACTCCCATATAGGTGTCACTTGTAGGCATATTTGTTCATATAATTTGGCACAAGCTCAACATAGTCTATTCAGTAATGGTGCAAAAGGAATCCAACCCATACCAGAAGGCCCCTAACACAAGTTATTATGCTTGTAATTTCCTTATGAAACAAAAGAACATAGGTTATGTTAGGTTAGGCCTTTTGGTTTCATGTAGTGTTACATTAGTCTTCTTTCAAATCAATACTGGCATCACTCTGTTGGACTTTCATCATTTTACCATTAAGAAATGATAATGTATGGCAGTGCAGTATGTTCAGATCTACTGTCATTTGGGACATTTATTTCGCTATGGTAGAATGTACGAGGAATATGCCAATTATGTGAGTAATTATGGAATATATGGTGGTCCTGTTAAAATGATACCTTTTAGAGTGTTATAATATTTGTAGTTCACTGGCCTTTATATATCAGAAGGTTAAAGTGTTCTGTCTACATTTATATTCTTAACTAAAATAAATAATTCAGTGCAGCAAGGTCCTTCTTGCTCAGATAGTGAAAATAGTTCTTGCCGTATATGACATTCAAAGATTCACCTCCCTCCCAAGGCTAAGATCCTATGTAACATTTTTAACCACCAAGCAGGAAGTCAACCCGTTCGCAGCTGCTAATTCAGTATCTTTGTAGCCACCATCCTTAGCTGAAGGCTGTCTCCTGCAACCACAACCTGTGCATGTGCCGTGCTGTGGTGACAGAGGAACCATTTCAAATGTGCATTCTTTATCATGTATGTTAAAAGTAAATGAAAATTAAAATAATATATATAGGAGTTGGGACAAAATAATGGAAACAATATAGATACTGTACACATTTCTTTATTATTATGGTGTCCGACCACCTTTTGCATTCATCACAACTGCAGTCCATCTTGCATCAGTGGACTCGTACAATTTTTGAACAGCCCCTAGTGGAATTTCATGCCCTTGAAGAACATCTTAAGATTGGTTTTATAGATGGTGAAGGTGGAAATATGTTTCTCACTCTAGTGTCCAAAACGGACCAGAGTGGTTCAGTGGTGTTAAAAGTGGTGATTGTGCTGGCCAGGGAAGATGTTGAAGTTCACCTTTGTGCTCTTCAAATCATGACTGAACAGTTCCAGCTGTGTGATTGGGGGTGTTGTCACCTTAGGAAACTGCATCGTTCTGAAGTGACATCTGGATCATGGGATTCACCTGATTACCCAACCTGTTCACATATTCCTTTGCAGTAATTCAGCCATGGAGTGTAATAATGGGACCAACAGAATACCATAGTATTGCTGCCCAGACCATCACAGAAGCTTCCCCATGGTTCACTGGTGGAACCAGGCATTCCAGATTATAGGGTTCTTGGATGTTCTCCAGATGTAAACCGTTCCTGATGTAGGAAACACCATGAAAGATGACACACCTGACCGTATCACACATGCATTTCCGGTTGTCTGGTTGTGTGATGTTCCAGGTTATATGGTCATGACACCATCGTTTACACATCTGAGCATTGCTTTCAGTAATCAGAAGTTTAGCAGTTGCAGACCTACCATGGATGTTTGATTTGTGAAGCACACATTGGATAGTTTTTGTGGAAACAAGGTCTTCAAGATGAATGAATATTCAGTTCTGCTGTTCTGTCACCTATGCTGTAGTAGCTGTGTGATTTTTAAAAAAGTCCTTCTCGCCCACTGTTTCTCTTCGCTCTCGATACACCTAATAACGTGGTAGTTTTTGTTGCAGATGTTCCAGCTAAACACGCACTAACGATTTGTCTTCTTTAAAAATCATACTAGTCTCCCATTTTCCAATTCTTTCACATGGACTGTCACTCAACACAGTCACTAATGCACTTACATGAGCACTAAAGCGGCCTCCGTAGTCTAGGGGTAATGTTCCCACCTCATGACTCAAGGTACGCAGGTTCAAGCCCGGCGGATGTCGTGGAATTTTTAAGGGTGGAAAAATTCAGGGAACAAGTCCTCCGGGAGGGACTTTAAGCTGTGGGTCCTGTGTCGTAGATTTACGGCACGTAAGAGATCCTCATGTCTCTAGGAGACCTCTGAGCAAAATTAGGGAGAGTTTTCCGCCCAAGTAGTTTCCAATTCCTCTGGTAGATGGGGAAGTATCGGGTACCACTGCCAGAGAATGCCTACCTCGCTGGCAGAACGGGGCTGATAGCGAGCACCAGTACTGGAAGAGCATGGCGACAGTAGAAATTAAGGGGGGACACACAATAGAACAACAACTGGTCACAGTGCATGGGGAAACCCACCCCCTCCAATAATAATAATAATACATGAGGACTATAGAGTGTAAACAAATGGAGGAACATTCATTGTTGCCAACTGAAGTTCTTTCAAAGTAATCAACATAAATTCTGTTCCCTAATTTCTTAGTGTTTCCATTATTTTGTCCACCACTTGGACATTACAGTGTGTGTGTGTGCATGTGATAACTTGTAAAGAGTACTCATGTTTTGTATCAAAGCGTCCAATAACTCCAACCATCTATCCAAAATCCGTCTATAGTCAAATTCATACATATGACAATATCTTATGTATCACTTTCATGGTTTCAGATTACAAAAGAAGGATGAAGAATGGTCCCTTTTGCTTATATATATCTTTCTTTTTTCTTCTTCTTAAGTTTTTTTTTTTTTTTGCAGTCATGCTGGAAACAAAACGTGAGAATGTTTTATTGTTTGCCACAATATCAGTCGTATTTGCAGTTGGAGTGTTCGTTCTTTGGGGACCTGCATTTCGTCAGAAACGAAGGAGTAAGTTAGACACATTTCATTTTAATTGACAAGTTATATTTGATGACTATAATTTTTTTAAATAATAAGTAACAGTTATACCATCATCACAGCAGCCTCCATAGTCTAGAGGTAACGTTCTCACCTCATGACTCATAGTACGCGGGTTCAAATACCCGGCGGAGGTCGTCGAATTTTTAAGGGCGGAAAAATTCAGGGAACAAGTCCTCCGGGAGGGACTTAAGCTGTGGGTCCCGTGTCGTAGCTTTACAGCACGTAAAAGAACCTCATATCTCCAAAGGAGGTCACTGAGCCAAATTAACGGACGTTTCCCACCCAACAGCAGTCTCTGATACCTCTGGTAGATGGGCGAAGCATCATAGATACCTCTCAGGTAAGTAGAGCCGGTCTCGCTGCCTGGGCGGGACTGATGGTAAGCACCAGTACTGGTAGGATATAGAGACTGGTAGAAATCATAGAGGGAAGCACAATGGACCAATACAGGTCTCAGTGCATGGGGAAACCCACCCTCTCCAATAAGTAACTAACTACCTATACCATCATCATCATCAGTAATCTGTCAGACGACAGGTCCACAGTCTCTTCCAAAACAATTCCTCCACTTAATGCGATCTAGAGCTTTCTCCTTCAAATGACAGTATCCTCTTCTGTCCACAAGGTCATCCAGCATCTTCTTACATCTTCTTCCTCGTCTTCTTGTCACTTCTATCCGCCCCTCTATCTTTCCTTCAGTAACATCTTTTAGAAGGCAATTTCTGTGTAAAACATGACCAATCCAATTAGCCTTCCGTTTTCTTATTTCGTATAGGATATTCCTCTGCTCACTGACTCTAATTAACACTTCTTCATTTCTCACATAATCAGCCCAACTGATCTTCTCCTTCCTTCTCGAACACCACATTTCAAAACTTTCCATATGTTTCTGATCTACTGCCCTAAGTGTCCATGTTTCAGCCCCATACAGAGCTATGCTCCAAATGCAGCATTTCACTAATTTCTTTCTCAAATTTAAGTCCAATTTGCTGGTAAAAAGGTTCCTTTTCTTGCTAAATGCAGCTTTTGCCATAGCAATTCTGGATTTAATTTCACTAGTACACCTTCCATTATCTGTTAACAAGCTAGTTATACCATATACGCTTAAAATATTCAGGGTTACTGCTTGTCACCATTTAAAAAAAATCCTGAGATAAATTGTCGTTTTTGCTACATGTGAAGACCATTCGAGTTCAGAATTCTGTAATTAGACAACTATGAATGTTACATCTCCAGTTTTAGACTGAATTCTTTTGCCTTGAATATAGATGCAGCAGGTCCCTCCAAAAATTGATATGTATTTACCAGGCTGAATCATATGTGTCAGAAGACCATAATCTCTTATTAGTTGAGGAAGGTAAAGTTTTTTAAGTAATTCTTGACCTTCACTTCCCCCTGTGTTAATCATTGTTTTATACAGGTCACGCAACTATGCTGGCACATGCACATGTCTGTCAGGCCAGCATGCATAACATTACATTGTTTACAATATAAATCTCATTATTTCCAAGTTAAAATCCTGCTGCCAGAGGCAGCATGCAATGTTAATGGTATGTCCTGCCTTGTTTCACTGGTTTCCAGTTGTCCCATAGTAATTTGGAAGGTGGTCAGTAAATTGTTCATACATTAATGTACAAAATCTGTCAGTCTTGTGGAGACCATTGGTAATAGCCTTTCTGTTCAAAATTCTGAATGCGTTTCTTGACTGGTCATTAAAACTGCATGTATAGCCCATAACATGGTCCTTCATTTAGCTGTACTGGCAATTCTTTGTGTACTGTTACAACACAATATTTTTCTTAACATTTTGCTTTCATGTGTGAGTAATATATGTTTTTTCCTTCAGAATAGAATACCACATATGGCCCTTTTTTTTCCCCTGAGTATGATAAACTCAAGGTAAAACATTACACCACTATATGAGATTTGTATTTCTCACATTGATGAATATCAAGATATAGTGCTGTGTAGTTTGGTTGCTAGGTACCAACATTTTGGAGAACTTGCTACTTCCATCTTCCTCAAAGGCAGAGACAGCAGATACTCTGAAATGTTTGTACCTGTCTACCAGACTACACGGCTTCATAGCCTAGAAGACCTTGTTCTTGATTTCACCACTAACTTTCATTTTGCAGGAGTTATATATGTTTTGGCTTTTAGGTCAAGTCCTTGGACTGGTGAATCTTGGTTACACATGTTTCCTGAACACTTTGCTTCAGGCACTTGCATCTTGCCCTGTTGTTATGGACTGGCTGTCCACACATCAAAGTAGCACCAAAGGGAGTAGCTTGACTGCATCATTATGGAATACTCTCCAAGGTAAATGAACAAAGGCATTTTCATATTTTTGGACTTTGAATATTTGTATAAATGTCTATTCATTTTTCATTTTTCATTTTTGGAGATTTTCTGTGGATTTTCTTTCAAAGCAGAGCCAACAGAAATATTTAAAGACTCTAAAAAAGGTAAAGTTATCTCTGTAACAGGCTGTGGAGCTCCATAGGGTTCTGGGATGTTGAGGCTCACACTTCATCTAGACAGTCAGTGACAGTGAGGTTGTCAGCCTTACGTGCCAGCTGCCCTTTACCCCTAGGAAGATTCCTGGTACTTGTTTCTGTTAGAGGCTGAGTTGACCCGAGGGCCGTAGTGCAGCTGCAAGAATTAAGTGAATTGAAAAATCCAGTGACCTCATCGGGAATCAATCTCATGACTTACAGCTTGTAGTATAGTGCCTCAACCAACTATGCTATCGTCGTAGGCCCTATAGGGTTGTGATACAGTGAGTCTCTCACATTTTCCAGACAGTCATCTCACAGATGGCAGTGAGGTTGTAAGCCTTAATTCAAACACTATAATTTGTTTCATGTTCATAATAATGGTCCTTACTGAATTACTTTTTGAATGATGGATGTGTACAGACCTTATTAAGAGTTATACTTATGGTGTGCTGTAGATACAGGAATCTATTTTGTTAATTAAAAATATCACATGTCATTATCATGATAACCATTGTCATCATCATCAACTTGACAGCCCTGTGTGGACCATGGTCTTCTTCAAAAGTTTCTTCCACTCTTCCTGTATAATGCCAGGCTCATTCAGTTCTTCTCTCCTAGAAGTCTGGCAACCTGGTCCACATTATTCCCCCATCTCACTTTTGGCATTCCAATTCCTCTTTTTCATTCTGATCTTGTGTCACACATTCCTTAGTCAAGATCTAAAAGTTTATGATGATGGTACATTAATACAAATATTATGTTTCTGGACATTATCCGTCATCCTGTTTTAATTTGAAACATGTCTTGGAGACTGGATTCTCTGTGGAATTTATCTCTCCAGTGATGACTTCTAATCTGATTGTACTCTGGTTCCAGTCCTCCTATATATGGAGTTTTTTGATGTTTTAATGTTTCATCTTAACTCTTGCAGATGAGTTATGCTGCACTCGGTTTGTATACAGGTGCAGGTGTCCAGAGATAGGGACTAGTCCTATCAATTGGGCCCAACTGAGCAGGTTTTACCTGAAGACAGACAGAATCCAGTCTCCGGAACATGTTTAAAATGAAAATAGGATCATGGATGAAGACCAGAAACATAATGTTTGTATTCTCTTAGTTGACCTATTGTTATCCATTTGTGACATATTCTGCCTACTTTAGTCTGTTAATTTTAATACATTAGCTAATATAATTTATATAATTGAAAATTCTCTCTTCTTTTCCATCATCCTTTGTCCTGTACTGCCCCAGAGATACTCCTCAAGATCCATCCCTCAGATGGGTCTATTGCAGTCTCTCGTGTCTTTGTAAGTATCCAAGTCTTAGAAGCATATGTTGCTACTAGCCATACAGGTATCTTGTGCAGTGTCATCTCTCTTTTTCTTAAGACCGTTTTTAATTTGAAATGCAGAGAAAATGCAGTTTTTTTATTGTGATGTGGATAAATTTCAATCTTCAGAGGGTTAAGAGATTAAAGTATTTAATAACCTAATTCTCTCTTAGTATTATGATTAGAAATATTGTGGGTTTTTTTTTGGGGGGGGGTGGAGACATCACATGTGATGTGTGTATATGTGTACATGTTCGTTCACATGAAGGATACCTGTGTGCATGCACTTACATATGTGTAACCAAAGGCTATAATCTTAGGAGCAAGTCACTTACTGAATGTTAACAATAATGTTGGCAGTACTGAATGGAACGGAAGGAAGTGAAGATCCATACACTCCTTCCAAGTTGATCCAATCACTCATGGCTCAAGGATGGGTTATATCTCCTGGGGAACAGGATGCACATGAATTATTTCATGTTATTGCTACGACACTGGAAGAAGAAATGCAGCAGGCATTGCCAAAGGTGCAACAACTTTCATTCTCTATTCTTGTTTTAAGTACAGCTGCTTTTTGTTATGTGTGTTTGGTGCTGAGATTAGGCATTTTATGGCTTAGGAAAGATTTCCAGTTGTGCCATTTTATGTACAGGTAGATCTGTCAAAGTGGCGGAAGACTTCCACTAGTAGACTCATATGGAAAAATTGTTGTGATGTTGGGAGCCTTCAGACAGGAAAGGAGATGGTGATTACCCTGTTCCATGTTATAATGAAACAACCAACAACAAGCATTGTTTACATTCCCTACAGAACAGACAATACTTTGGAAGATGAGGCACCGACTAAATAATTAATATTAATATTACTACATCTACATCACAAGCCTCCAATACAATTTTTTATATACACACAGATTATAGAATACTCCAATTTGTCCATGGGAACGCAACAAAATTACAAAAACGAACAACTGACTCGATGATGTAAAACATCAGTCGAAGAATTTTATTCTTCTTTTATACTATAACTTTTGTTTTATATAATCTAATTTATTGTATTTTTATGCCAAATATTTTATATAATTAATAATATTGTATCCAATTTTACTAGTGCTGCGGTTCAGTGGTGTATATATGTTAACCATGTATTTGCTTGATGATGGCTATTAATAGCCAAAATATATAGCAGAGCCAAAACTAGGCACTGATTTTGATATTAGTTGTGTTGTGATGGTTTTAATAAAGAAGTTGAAACAACCATTGTCACTGAATAGAGATTCAATGTGTCTCATCACAGGTATGCTCTTTGTCTGATGTTGAGGATGGCCCAAGGGAGATCCAGTCTGACACTGTTCAGCTACGTAATTCAGGTATACATCTACGAAGCACAGTGCATAGTCTTGAAACCAGCAGCTGGTGGAAGGAAGCCAAATTGAAAGGTCCACTTCCTTTCCAAGGCCTTTCTACAAGCCAGTTACAGTGTACAAGCTGTAATTGCAAGGTACTACTTCATCTCTGCTGCTGTCTAACACCAGCACCGTATTACAGTACATCATTTATGTTGTTTTTCTTTGCATGGTACCTCTGAAATTGGCCCAAAATGGGTAGGTCACATAAGTGTCACCATGGTTTTGGGGGGGGGCTGTGGAAATTGCTTGTGAGCTTACATTTAAGCTGTTTAAGATTATTTATATAAAAAGGTAAAGCTATCTCTGTAACAGGCTGTGAAGGCCCATAGGGTTGTGAGGTGTTGAGATTCCCACATTTTCTAGAAAGTGAGCTCACAGATGGTGGTAAGGTTGTCAGCCTTACGCACCAGCCGCCCTTAATCCCCCAAGAAGATTCATGCTACTCATTTCTCTTAGAAGCTGAGTTGACACTAGGGCCATAGTGCAGCTGAAAGGATTAGGTAAATTGAAAGAATACACCTCATTGGGACTCAAACCCACGAACTTTAGGCTTGTAACATCGTGCCTCAACCAACTACACTACTGCGTCCCACCAGATTAGATTATTTATGTTTAATAATTAAAAATACTTTAGCTTTTATTATTAATATTTTATATTTTTCCTTCCACAAATTTTATTTTTTGTTAAAAAATCCAAGGGTGGCAGATGTCATGTTCCCCCCTGCCATCCACAGCAGGTCATATTATACACACCTAAAATAACTGCCCCCCACTGGTATGTCACCATTTAAAAGCCAAAGTTGTTGTTAGCATAATGTAATAAAACCTTATCTGGTTGCTCCCCTTCCACTGGATATTAGTTAGGACCTTAGCTAGTGTACATGCATTTGCTTGTATATGTACATTACAGAATTCCAGACTGTGTTTGGAAGCTAGAGTTGGTTTTAATATAATATAAGAAGGTCACATATATGTAGTTCCTCTCTTATTAGTTTTCAGTTGCATCCTTAGCTAGTATTCATGCATTTGTATACACAGTACAAAACCACAGACTGTTTGAATGTGTCACTGGAAGCTGGAGTAGCTTTTAACATGGTTTAATAAAGCAGCATAATAGTTTGTTTTGGTAATATACACATTACTCCTACACACAAAGTTGTGGTGGAAAATCTTGAATGAAAGAGACCTTGAAGACATGCATAGATGGGAAAATAATATTGAAATGGATTTTAGAGTAATATGATGGGTAACAGTGGACTCAATTCATCTGGCTGGTGGTAGAGGCTAGAGTTGGACTCTTGTCAGCATGGTAGTGATTAGATTCCATAAAATGCTTGATTTTCTTTAGTAGCTGAGCAACTATTAGCTTCTCAGGATGGTCTCTGTGCAATGGAATTTGTTAATTACATGTAGTTAGTACAGAACTTCAAACAGTTGTTATGTATTGTTTTAGTTATTTGAGTTGTAACCCTATTATTTTAGGTGGATTAATTCATTCTTTCTCCAATAGACAGGATTCTTGAAAATTATCTGGTTGATTTAAAAGTTGTTAAACCTTCAACGATGCAGGACATTTAATTTCTACTCACTCATGGCTGTAGGGGAGTATTTAAATATTTAAAATGGAAAGTGCAAACCTTTCACATAAAGTGTAATAATTTGAAAAACCTGTTGTTAT